GAGAGAGAGAGAGAGACAGAGCGTGAGCTGGGGAGGGGCACAGAGAGAGGGAGACACAATCTGAAGCAGGCTCCAGGCTCTGAGCTGCCATCACAGAGCCCGGCATGGGGCTCGAACTCACAAACCGTGAGATCATGACCTGAGCCGAGGTCGGACGCTTACCCGACTGAGCCACCTAGCCGCCCGCCCCTCTACAAATAATTTTAAAGGAAAATAAACCGAGAAAACAATGGGTACATTTTAGCAGTTTTCTGCAAAAACTACAATAGAGCAACCCTTTATGGTGTAGTCTTAGAGCTGACTCCCGAGCGTTCCCGGACAGATGGACTAATCCTGGAGCTATTTGTAGGCATTTACTCACGTTTATTTACCTCGTGGTTTGCTCTGTAGTTATTGGTAAGTCAGTGAAGTACAGGCTCGGCGTTTGCTCTCACGATACCGGACACGTGGTCTGGGACTTTATTTACCAGTAAATTTGCTGTGTTTCGTCGGGTGCCGTTGCCCATCAAGGTGTGTTTTCAGTGGTACCTTAGCGATGTCCCGTTGTCCATCGCTTGTACCAAAGACCTGAAACTTCAGGTCTTCAAACAAGGACAGTCGCTTCTCTTGCTTCGGGCTTGGAGGGTGAGGTGCCACTCTGCGCTGTGCGGGGCCTCAGCTGAGGCGGCTCTGCTTGCCTCCGGAGGCTGGGACAGCTGGGGGCCCACCCGGTGTCTTCCTCTTTCTCTCTGCAGGTGGTCCCAGGGCTTCCCTGTGTGCTCTCTAGTCTCTGCATCCCATCTTGGGCAGACTTTTCCGGAATCTGAAGTAACAGTGATTTTGATGCCTTTTTTTTTTTTTTTATCTTTCTGTTGCAGATGTTGCTGCCATAGCATGTGGTCGAGAATTCTTGGTTAATTCAAGTCGGGTGCTGTTGGACACCTTTCTGCAGCTTCTGGGAGACTTGAAGCCAGGACAGTGCACGAAACTCAAAGTGTATGGTGGATGCTATTAAAAAGCTCATGTTTATTTACCTATTAGTTAGAATTTGCTGATGGGGCTTCTTTTTCAAGTAAGCACAGTTACTTTGGCAATAATTCTAAAAAAATAGAAGAAACACGTCGCCCGGAGAATTAAGGGATGCACTCTTTGTTCAGTACTATCTTAGAAAAATAATAAACAAAAAGAGTGTTCTCGTTCTCACCTTAGAGCAATCGGTGAGTCCCACAGGTTATCATGTGACACTTTAAGGTCATCTTAATTACCTCAAAGTGAACTTAAATAGGAGATTGTTACAGCAGTGTCCTACCTCCAGGTGCCAAAATCTGCCTTTGTTTTCTACTGGGTAACAAACTTCGTGGTTCAAACAGCACCTGCTTCAGTCCTGCGGGTCAGGAGTCCGAGAGAGCTCACCTGGGCTCTCTGAGCGGGGCCTCACATGGCCAAAACTGAGGTGTTGTCCAGGCCGGGCTCTTTTCCAGAGGCTCCAGAGGGCCCACCTGGGTCACGTTCAGGATGCTGGCGAATCCAGCTCCCTGCACTTAATAGGACTCAGGTCCTCGTTTCCTCGCTGACTGGCCTGTGGGGCTGTCTCAGCTTCCTGGGCTGACGGAGTTTCTGATCCTGTGAGGCACCTGTCTTCAAGGTCCAGTGGCTCACTGAGTCCTTAACCTGGAAGCTCTCAGACTTCCTCTTCCGCTGCCAGCCAGAGAAAATGCTGTACGTGGATGGGCTCGGGGGTGTAGCTTAGGCATAACTGGATAAACTCCCTTTTCATAAGCCAGAGGCACCCAATTGGTAACCTCAGGTAGGTGTGCCGAGACTCTCCGCCGTGTAACTGAACGTGACCCGGGTGTTGTGTGTTCAGCCTGGGGGTCAGGGCAGGAGGTCTCGGGCCACTTTTCATTCTGAGCGGTGGCTTTTCCTCCTTGGAACATTTCGTTATCTCTGTCATCTTGGCGTGGTGTCTCTTGGTTATCTTTTCCCATGTGCGTTGGGATTTTTCCTATTTTTTTGTGTGCTGAGTAATTTTGGGTTGTACTGTGGATATTTGAATATTATGTTTTGAGACCCTTGGTCTTTTTTAAACTGTGGAAAATGTTGACGTTTTTGTTTGAGCAGACAGCCTGGTTGGGTCCAAGTGACAGGTTCTCACCTGCCTCCTCTGTATTGTGTTTTCAGCGTCCTTTGCAGTTTCAGAAAGCCTTCGCAGGACCGCTGGGTCTGCCCCTCCCGTGTACCACCCGCGTCAGCCTAAAACCCTGGTGATCGCTGGCAATTTAGTTCTCAGGCTGGGGTATGCTCTTTCTGATTAGATTCACACATGCCTAGCTTGGCGTGAGGCCGGGGTTTACGAACCACCTTGCGGGGTCACTCGCCTGAGCTCTTGAACTCTCCACGGTGTGCTTGGTACTTGTTAGTTACCCAGGGCTCCCCTTCCAGCCCTTCGCCTGGAGTGCCGGCGTTCCGCGTGCCCTGCTGCGTCCTGTGCTTCTGCAGCTGTGCCCGGCAGCAGGGGTTCAGAGGGTCACAGCTCCTTCCGGCGGTGAGGAAGATTTCCTGCCCACACAGTGGGAGTTATTTGGGGGCCCCGCTGCCGGCAGAGCCCCTTCCTACTGCTCGAGCCCGACAAGAAGTCTTCCGGTGCGCGTTCTTATGCGAGTCACTGCCACGCCTGGGCTTGGGGGCTGAGTGGTGAGCTCGCTGCGTGTTTGGTGTTTCTTCTCACTCTGGACTTGTGCCCGTTCTGTCTGCTGCTGTTTCCTTTTCAGGGGCTTCACATCGCTGCTCCGTGTATTCTGTTCAGAATTCATAGCTGCGTTCAGTGGAACCAAGAGGGTGGGGCATGTTCACCCCCATCTTACCTGGAACCAGATTCTTGAGTCTGCTCCAGTGTTTTATACTAGCAAATACATGTCCGCGAGTGATACATATAATACAACATAACATATAACTTGTATAGTTTTGTGTATATTTTTGCGAGTTGTCTGTGCCCGTAGTTAATTCCTTTGAAATATCTTGCACCAAAAAGATGTAACATTTGGATTATCTTATCCCAGATTGATGGACATTAGGTCATTTTCAGGTTTTACTCTGCAAATGTAATAGTGTAGTGAACACCTTTGGCAAATATCTCCTTGCTAACCTGTGTGAGGCTTTCTTTCTCTAGGAGTTTTCCCAAAAATGCAATGTTTGAGAAGTAAGACGTGCACACTTTTAGTTTGATAAGACGCTGCCAGATGGGTCACCAGAGTACACACTTCCACCCACAGGGCATCAGAGTTCTGTGTCTCCCACACCTTCCTCAGCACTTCACTGTTTATTATTTTCTAATAAAGGGTATTTGTATTATCTACATCCGTCTGCCTGTCTTTAGGTGTATATTACTGGTAAGGTTGAAACTCTATTCACTTTTTCATGACCTTGTTTTTCCTGTGAATTACCTGTTCATGTCTCTTGCCTGTTTTCTGTTGGGTTGTATTTTTCATAGTGACTTGCTGTTTTTTTTGTGTTCTGGATACTACACCGTTGTCTCTCGTGCCTCTGTGGTCCGTACAAGGTCAGTGTTTGGGGGCCAGTTAGCCCCCTCCTGCACTTCCGAGGCAAGGCTTTGTACAGGGTCTGTGTGTCTTCTAGTCTCTCTGGTTCCAGTACGTGAAGCTCTGGGCCTTTGCATGTTAGGCAGCCCCTGTCCTGCACTGGGAGATGGGCAGATTTGCATTCAGAGACGTTTGCTTGCTTGCTTGGCAGTTTTCCACCTGACAGGGAGCAAAGCCTGGAGCAAAAGTGGATAAACTGTTCGCCTTAGACCTGCTTGGGATCTCAGCCTGCACCAGCCTCTTGTGGGTCTCCTCACATTATCATTTTTGGCTGCCTTCTGATTTGTGTGCCATTTGTTCATGCTTTTCTTCACTGCTAACTCGTGGCCTTGAGTCCTCTGGAACCAGGACCTTTTTTGTACTGTAAGTAAACTTCTCTTTTTGGCCTCTCCTTGTCTTGACTGTAACTTGCCTCTATCCTGGAAAGTTTGCTTTCCTTTCTGCTTCTGTGGCTAAAGGCTACTCATTTTCAGCAGCTTGGGTGCCTTAGACCCAGAGAAGGGGATTTTTTTTTTAAAGACTTAAATCTTTTAGAGCAGTTTTAGTTTCACAGCAAAATTTACTGGAAAATACAGAGATTTTCCATATACTGTGTCCCAACACATACGTAGCCTTTTCCACTATCAGTATCATTCACGAGAATTTTTTTTTTTTTTTTTTTTTTTTTGCCAGCAGTGAACCTGCATTGACCCAACATAGTCACCCAAAGACCATAATTTACCTAAGTTTACTCTTAGTGTCACACATTCCGTGGATTGGGGCTAATGTATTATGGCATATGTTCATTAACATATGTTAATTATGTACAAATTTAATTACATATGTAACATATATGTAATGTAATTAATTAATTACATATGTAATTAACATATGTAACATATGTTAATGTATACAGAGTGTTTTCACTGCCCTGGAAATCTTCTGTGTTCTACCTGTTCATTTCTTTCCTGCCCCAGCCCCTGGCAGTTCTTGATCTATGTATTGTCTCCATGGTTTTGCCTTTTCCACAGTGTCATACAGTTGAAAGCCTTCTCAGACTGGCTTCTTTTACTTAGTAATAATCTTTTAAGGTTCTTTCATATCTTTTCATGGCTTTGAGTTTTCTGAGAGTTCTTTGTATATTTTGGATAATATTCTTCTATCAGCTGTGTCATTTGCAAGTATTTTCTCTCAGTCTGTGGCTTGTCTTCTTAATCTCTTGACGTGGTCTTTCACAGAGCAGAAGCTCTTAATTTTCATGCAGTCTAGCTCATCAAGTATTAGTTTTACTGGACCTCTGGTGTTGTGTCTACATAAGGCATCACCATGTATGGGTCATAGGTGTTCCCCTGTGTTACACCCTGGGAGCCGTATAGTATTTTATTTTACAGTTAGGCCTGTGAGTCACTTTGAGGTAATTTTTGTGAAGGGTGTAACGTCCATGTCTAGATTTATTTTTTTGCGTGTGGATGTCCACTTGTCCTAGTACCACTTGTCGAAGAGACTGTCTTTGCTCCGTTGTATTGCCTTTGCTCCTTTGTTGAAGATCAGTTAACTCTGTTTGTGTGGATCTACTACTGAGCTCTTTATGCTGTTCCATTGATCTGTTTGTCTGTTCTTTTTCCAGTATCACATCATCTTGATCACTGTAGCTTTGTAGTGAGTCCTGAAGTCAGGTGATGTTAGTCCTACAACCTTGTTGTTATTCAATATTATGTAGGCTATGCTGGGTCTTTCGCCACTCTATATAAACTTAGAGTCAGTTTAGTGATACCCACAAAACAACTCGATGGAATTTTGATTGGGATTGTGGTGAATCTAAAGATCAAGTTGGGAAGAACTGACATCTTCACATTGAATCTTCCTATCCATGAACGTGGAATATCTCTGTCTATATGTCTTCCTTCCTTCCTTCTTCTCCTTCTCTTTATTTTCTTTCTTTCCTCCATTTATTTAGTTCTTTGATTTAATTCATCACAGTTTTATAGTTTTCTACATATATATCTTGTACATATCTTGTTAGATATATACCTGAGTAATTTGTAGGGGATGCTAAATGTGAATGATACTGCATTTTTTATTTCAAATTCTACTTGTACATTGTTGGTATATAGGAAAGCAGTTGACTTTTGTATGTCAACCTGGTATCCAAAACCTTGCTATAATCTTATTAGTTCTGGGAGGCTTTTTTGGTTGATTCTTTCAGATTTTCTACATAGATGATTATGTTACCTGTGAACAAAGACAGTTTTATTTCTTTCTTCCCAATCTGTATATCTTTTACTATATTTTCTTAACTTCCTGCATTAATAAGGACTTGCAGCATGATGTTGAAAAAGAGTGGTGAGAGGGGACATCCTGACCTTGTACCTGATCTTAGTGGAAAACATTTGAGTTTCTTACCATTAAGTATGTTAG